TATTTTAGGGGCAAATGGTGTGCCGAGGAGTGGCCGGAGTCGTGGAAAGACAGCCCATTGATCAGGAACCTGGCATTCTTGGAATTCTTCCCGGTGGTTGTGGCGGTGGCATTGTGGGGCAGGGAGCTGGCGAACAGGAAGGTGATTTTTCACTTCGATAATATGGCAGTGGTCCAGGTGATTAATAGTAATTCCGCCTCGTCGCTGCCTGTGATTCGGTTATTGAGACACCTAGTTCTCCTTTGTATGTCGTGGAATATCGCTAGGCATGTGCGGGGCTTGTTGAACGTCTCATTCACAGTGGGAGCGTTTTCGGGAGGCAGCACCGAGCGCACAGGAAACAGGACAGGCGTGCCCGGAGGAAATATGGCTGCTCGGGACATCGTGCTTGGGGGCTGGATAAGGAGCTCATTGGCGCCAAGCACCTGGGTGGCATACACCAAAGTTTGGAACGAATGAGAGGAGATGGTAGGGCAGACGGCAGTGGGTGACTCTGCAGCAGGTAGGTTGGACGCGCTATTATGGTGGTTGTGTCGGTTACTAGCGGGTGGGGCCTCTCTCTCTAAGGTAGAGCATCATATGGCGGCTTTAGCTTTTTGGTTTAAGCTTAATGGTTGGGAAGATCTTACCAAGACTTTTGTGGTGAAACAGGCCTTGCAAGGCTTCCGGAGAGGGAGGAAGACCGTGGACACAAGGAGGCCGGTGTCGTTTACCTTCCTGCAGGGGTTCGTGGGAGTGTTGGGTGATATGTGCACATCATCATTTGAGGTGGTTTTGTTTTCCGTAGCGTTTGTTTGGGCCTTTTTCGGGGCTTCCGTATCAGTGTGTTGTCAGCGCAAACAAGTCAGGAAAGAATGGGCTTCAGCTCGAGGACGTAGTGGTGGTGCAGGATAGGGTCGAGATTCAACTGAGACGCTCCAAGATGGACGTTTTTGGGAGAGGTAAGAAGATAGTCCTGTTCTCGTTGCCGGGGTCGGATGTCTGCCCAGTGGCGGGCGGGACCAAGTTCCTAAGCATGCGCCCGGGTATCGCGGGATGTTTTTTAGTTCATGAGGATGGCTCGGCACTGTCGCATTTTCAATTTATCCGGGTGTTTCGGATGGGGCTACAAAAGCAGGGCCTCCAGCCCATGCAATTTGGTACGCATTCGTTTCGCATAGAGGCTGCAACGAAGGTGGCTCGTCTGGGATTGGGTGACGAACGGATTAAACAGATAGGTAGGTGGGAGTCCATACGGTTTCGTTCATACGACCGGCCAGACGGGTTAGTATAAAGGTGGGCCGCAGGAAGGCGGGGAGGGGGGTTGTTGCCCTCCAAAGTAACTGATTTTGTTTCTTTTCAGGTTTGGTCACTTGGTTGGTGGGTCACTCATACATGTATTGGGCGCAGAAGAGAGCCGCAGTTCGGAGGAACGAAACACAGCTGGGTTTTCTTCTGGAAATGGTGGAGTTGCGGTGGTTTGGATTTAGGGGTTTTAGCTGGCAGAGCATTAGCGGAGAAATTTCAGGAGAGTTTCGGGAGGGGCCTTCCTGGATATAATCCTAATCCATGGTGGGGGCAATGATTTAGGTTCTGTTCCCCAAAGTGAATTGATGAGGAGGATGAAGCGGGATTTGGATCGGCTGTGGGAGCTGGTTCCTGGCGTGGTAGTGGTATGCTCAGAGATGGTGCCCCGATTCAATTGGAGACATGCCAGGGATCCAGCTGCCGTAGCGCGTTGCCGGGGAAAAGTAAATAAAGCAATGTCAGCTTTCGTCCGGAGGTTTGGCGGGGTTCTGGTGCGGCATTGGGAACTAGAAGGTATGCTGCCAGGATACTTTCGCAGGGACGGGGTGCACCTTTCAGAGGTGGGGTGTGACTTGTTGAATTTAGGCTTTCAGGGGGGTCCTATTTCTGTGTGGTGGGGGTGCGCGAGACGTTAAGATATCAAGTCTCGGGCTGTGGCGGGATAGGGCTTGGGTAAGGGGGATGGAAGAGGAGTGTAACAGAACTATGATTGTGCCTATACTTTTGCCTGGACTTAAATAACAACGCTGCTGGATGTGTCAAACAAAAACCGAATGGCTAGTTTTTGTGTAAATATTCCTACTATAACATACAGCCCAAAATACCAAACATCAGACCACCCAGGGAAACAGTTAATTGATATTTTACCTCCCAGTGATTGTGGAGCCGTTCGCATGGTTCATACGAATTCCTTTGTGCTCAGGTTAGATGGCCGCCATTTCGGGACTTTACACGTGTTCGCGGCCATCTTACGCACGAACGGCGGTGTTTGCCTGTGAACGCATGGAACTAAAAACTGATACGCAAACAGGCGAACACCGCTGATACCTCCAAGAGCTCGTAAGTTCGTGCTGGAACTACCGAACGACCGGCCGTTCTGTAGTTTTGTTTAAGCCTTCATAGGGATTCAAGCGAACACCAGGATGACTGTGGATGGCAAGGGGTTCGTGGGGTTTTAATGCACGAACGGAGACTGACCGCAAGGCCAAAACTTATGGAACTCTTTTCGGCTAGAAAACCTGTGCGGTCGGTCAAAACTTCAAAGATCCATAACTCCCGAACCCCTCAACAGAATGGGCTGAAATTTGGATATATTGTTCCCCTGAGTGAGAGCTACTAAGCGGTGCTGGAATTAAAGGTGTACCCCCCTGTTTTTTGGGTACATCCAGAATGTAGTTAAAATTGTGTCTGTTTTAATTATGTTATATGTTATCTGAGGGGAGGAGACGTGGGGGTTGAACCATGTATCTAATTGGCTGTTGTGATAATTATGTGGGTGTAGCCTTTCAGAGGACACTATTGCATAAAAGGAGACCCCTGTCAATAAACATCAGTTCTACTTGACCCTTCAAAATGTAGCCTCGTCTCGTTCTTGGAGGGGATTTATGGTACCGTTACTCTGCCTCATTTTACAGCACTGCCAGATTATACACTTGGATATCGTGGATGGGAATAAGAACTCCATTATTCACAGCAGCTTGCCTAGAAAAGGACGTCTCCAACGGCAGATACCCCCCCTACAGCAGGGTAGCCGTTACAAGGAGTATCAAGTGGCTAGGCTAAGGTTAGGCTGGATTAGGCCAGAGTGTTAAGTGGTCTGTTGGTTCGAGCTCGTCGGTGGCTCCGAACCTGGTGGTGTAGGGGTGTCTTAGTACACCCCTACAGTTAAGGAAGTTATAGTTATGGGGCCTCTTTGGTGGGCCGTGTGTTATATATATGTGTTATGTATATTGTTAAATATGTATATATATATATATATATACCAGGGGTAATTTTGTGCGGAAAGGGATTGTAGTAAATTATTATTATGCAGCAATGACCCCAATTTGTTATCTTGTTTTGATTACAATAAAATAAAGCTGTGGACTTTTATATTTCCAACAAAAATACGGTGTCTGTGTTTATTGGCGGGTTGAAATATGCCACAAGCCGAATAACGACTGTGCGCATGTCTTGTGTTTTCTGCGCACTTGTAAACATTCTAATTGTTTGCTGCTAATATGCTAAATAGTAAATTTTGTGGCCTGCTCTTCAGATGTGGGAGTCAAATCGAAGCGTCTAATAGTGTGTTTTCTGTTCACTTGTAATCATTCTAATTGTTTTGCTGCTAATATGCTAAATAGTAAATTTTGTGGCCTGCTCTTCAGATGTGGGAGTCAAATCGAAGCGTCTAATAGTGTGTTTTCTGTTCACTTGTAATCATTCTAATTGTTTTGCTGCTAATCTGCTAAATAGTATATTTTGGGGCCTGTTCTTCATATCTGAGAGTCAAATAGAAGCGTCAAATAGTGCGCTTACAGCGCACTTGTAAACATTCTAATTGTTTTGCTGCTAATCTTCTGCTTACATTGGAGTTTTAAAAAGTAAAATTTTTTTTGGGGGGGGGGCACTAAATAGTATATTTGGGGCCTGCTCTTCATATCTGAGAGTCAAATCGAAGCGTAACTTTGATTCGAATTTACTATATCGGTCACTTGTAATATTGTTTCACACCTACAATACTTGTTCCACAGATCTAAGTGATAGAAAACAGATTGATATTTTCTACACTAGAAACTACCAGATAACAAGCTGCTATATTTAAACCAGTTATCAATAGCTTAGAGGTACTTAAACAATATTGTAATTCTGGGGCAATACCCTTCCAAGTCAAACTGAGAGGTCAGTTTATATGGAAAACTGATACAATTCTAAAACAATTTCCACATGTCCTTTGCAGACTTTACATGCTGGAAAAACACAGGTGCCAACTGATGTGGCTTTCTGCAGTGTGCAGACCGGCAAGGAGGGCAGGGTTGAGGGGTGGGTGGAAGAGGATGTGTGTTAATCTGCTAAATAGTACATTTTGTGGCCTGCTCTTCATATGTGAGAGTCAAATCGAAGCGTCTAATAGTGTGCTTACTACGCACTTGTAAACATTCTAATTGTTTTGCTGCTATTCTGCTAAATAATAAATTTTGTGGCCTGTTCTTCATTTTTGAGAGTCAAATAGAAGCGTCAAATAGTGCGCTTACTGTGCACTTGTAAACATTTTAATTGGTTTGCTGCTAATCTGCTAAATAGTACATTTTGGGGCCTGCAGTGCACTTCAAATGTGAGAGTCAAATAGAAGTGTCAAATAGTGCGCTTACTGCGCAGTGGTAAACATTCTAATTGTTTTGCTGCTAATCTGCTGCTTACATTGGAGTTTTAAAAAGTAATTTTTTTGTGCTAAATAGTATATTTGGGGTGTTCACTTCATATCTGAGAGTCAAATTAAAGCGTAGATTTAACGATCCATTCATAGTTTCACAGTGAGGTGTGCAGTCCGGTGACCAGGACACAGACACTGTCAGGATGTGACATTCACTGTAGCAGCTGTGCGCACTTTTGGTGTTGTCACCCTGCTGCTGCTGGCCTGTCTGCGCTGCAGCGTAACTTCGGCCTTCCCGCTCACCGCCTCATGAGACTTTGCGAGCAGCAGCAGGCAATAGTGGAGTTTCATCTGCAGCACGCACGGATCAGTGGCTCTGCACCAGACTTCCCTCCAATTGATCAGAGTTAAATGATTTCATGTGGACTCATTACGATTACAGGGCTTCTAAAGTGTCCTGTATTGTTATTTGTTGTCACAACCTTCCCGCGTCAAGAGTGGGTCATTTGCGTGCCTGCTACTTCCTTGCGTGTGGTAGCCGTTTCTCAGGGTCCCTGTATGCAATGGAACCCTGATTCCACGTTACCCGTGGTCACCATGGTAGGCGCAGAAACTTGCGTTGAACGTTGATATGGATGACATCCGCATGCAAAGTTGCCACCATGGGGATGTGCGATTTGCCCGAGGTTCTCTAGTGTCAACAAAGTTCCTGCGCAACTATAATGTCAACAGCTACTGTGCAGAACAGAGTTGTCTTTTTCTATATGTCCCAATATTTTGGGGGCAACCCCAATTAATATATATATACAGTTTCAAGAAAAAGTATGTTAACCCTTTGGAATGATATGGATTTCTGCACAAATTGGTCATAAAATATGATCTGTTCATCATCTAAGTCACAACAATAGACAATCACAGTCTGCTTAAACTAATAACACACAAATAATTAAATGTTGCTGAAGAATATTGCATATTCTATATGTTCCTATTCAAATACATATTAAGGTGTGGCTGTCTAAAAGGGTTAAACACAACAGATGGTGTTTGCTATTCTGTACCATGAGGTCTCTGGAATTTGCTGTATAAGAGGTTTGGGGTGGTCTTTATATGGGGAATTTCCTTATATGGCAGAGTCTAAACTAAACGTTATGATGTAATTTGGGCTATATAGAGTCAAGGACAAAGGACCATGCTCTCTTCCTTCTACGATCCGTTTTGCCCTACTCTCTGATGTCCTGAGTTGCTGATACAAAGACGACTCTCTGTAACATCGTTAAGAAATACCATCTGTTAAGTATATTATTGTTTGCTGTTGAATGTAGAATAAATACTTATTGTGGCGGAACCAACCTCGCCACTGTCCACTGGAGAGGCCTGGTTACTCGCCTGCTCCCTTTAGACTATAGTCCTGCATTTTAAACTTTTATTTTACCTGCAGAAAGGTTTATTCGTGCCATTCTGCGGACTGTTAAACCCATGCTACCCCAGATAGCTATGCCATGAAAAATACAAGAAAAGGGGGTTAACGGCTGCGCTTGGACAATTAATAATAAAAAGATAAAAAAATATATTGGTTAAATATAAATAAAATCAGCAATGATAATAAAATCAGGTTATAATCAATAGGCAAAGTTCATCCAGATATGAAAATTGAAATTATAAGTTGAAACAGTCTCACTGATATGTGGTGATATGATAATAGTCCTCAAGTGTTGCTCCGTCCGTATGGTAGATAGTCCATATGTGTGAAGATAAAAAACAGAAGAAAAAGCTGCCAATGGTGAAATATTGTATGTCCAGATGTGGTATATAATCAAGAGAAAGATGTTTCACTCACATTTGTTGGAGCTTGAACCAGCTCTAGGAGAAGAGGCACTTAGTGGTTTAATCCCCACTATAGGATGTACTTAGATGGTTGGTCCGTCTGTCCGACTTGGAATTCCTTTGGTGTAGGCTAGGACCTACTCAGATGTACGTTGTTCTTTGATGCTGGGGAGATAGGTCCGCCTCTCCGATTTTGGATAGTAGGTATCCACGGGATATATATAAAACAGCAAATAGTGCTCTCAGTGTGAACGATAAAATAATATTTTAAAATAAGTTATACTTACAAAAATAGAGCAGACGGATACTGCTCTATTGCCACAGCGCTGGTGGAATTATCCCCACCTAAGGATTTCTTTGGACGGGATACACTTGAGAATGAATTTAAAATTAAAAATAAAAATAGAAGGATAAAAAATGAAAACTATAAAATGGTGTGAAATATAAAAATGCCAGGAGTAGTAAAAGTGTATAAAATACAATAAAAATAAGTATAAGATTGGTCCTAGTATAAAAGGTAACCAAAAATAACTTTTATTGATTAAAATACACTTATTTAAACCATTTACGCGTTTCACCTTTAAGGTTTTTTCAAAATGGTAAAAGAACAGTACACCTGGCAAAGAACTGAATTTATAAGTACATACAGAGGTTGAATATGACACCAAAATTTTAATGCACCAATCACAAACAAGTATTAAAACCGAACATAAAATACATTTCAAAATAACATAAAAACCATATATGTGCATTAGTATAAGCCTGATTAGGCTTGGGGGATTTAAATTTTGTTAAAACAAAGCTTTGAAGAAGATTTAATTACAGTTGGTCCCGATCACGTGATCGGGACGCGGCACTCATTCGCGAGCCGTCTAATGGGCGGTTCACTTACTAGATGCTCTATGGGAAATGGAGTACTGCCGGTCACTGAGCGCTCCAAGAGTAGAATCCATACCAAGGATCAGAATAGATGCTTAAAAAGGAACATAACAAGAATCTAAAAGCATATTATAAGGCATAAACAGCCACACAGATATATACATAAGGATTTTAGACTTGTGGATACGTAACCAAAGAGATGCCATAAAATGATAATAAAAGTATTATAATGTAATAATGTAATAAAAAGCACATAGCAATAAGACTAAATATTTACAAATGGTGTATAATTTATGAATGGTGGTAATATGATTACACAAAAATAAATAGAATCAAAAATTTAAAAAGGGGGATTTAATAAAAAAATAGACTTTTCATAAAAAATTATGCAGATCAAAATCTGCATTAAGTCAATTTGGTGTTAGGGTGTTAGGGTCTGTAACTTATAGACCCATTCCATCTCAGTTTTACCTAAGATATTTTATGTCTCCTCCTCTCCAGGGTAAAGAACATTTTTATGCCCATATATTTTAGCATTTTAGGATCTTTATTGTGAATTAAAAAATGTTTTGATAGAGAGTGATTTAAACATCCATTTTTTATGTTCCTACAATGCTCACCTAATCTGATTTTTAAACATCTAGTGGTCATCCCAACGTATTGGAAGCCACATGGGCATTCCAATAAGTAGGTGACATTTTTGGTATTACATGTTATAAATTCTTTTATTTTAAAAGTGGTTTTAGTTTTATTTGAAATAAATTCTATTATTTTTGGTGGCATTGTAGGATCAGCAGTTTTGCACACAATACAGTTTTTGCATTTATAAAAGTGTAGAGATCGGGGGAAAAAGGATACAAGATTACTTGATTTAGTTTCGTTGGTGAAATTGGTGGTTAGAATAGATTTAAAATTAGGACCCCCTCTAAAAAGTATGCTCGGCTTTTCTGGAATAATCTTAAAAAGTTTTTCATCATGTTCTAAAATATGCCAATGTTTCTGGATAATCTTTTTTATTTCTTTACTTTTGTTGTTATAGTTAAAAGTGATTGGAAGAGATATAGAATCGTTTTTGCTTTTAGGTTTTTACTTTAAAAGCTCATCTCTGTTTTTAGTTTTTATCTCATTGATATTTTCCAGTAAGTCTTTTTCTGGGTAATTTTTCTCCATGAATTTATTCTTGAGGGCATTAGCTTGTTCTTCAAAATGTTTCTAGTTCTGTGCAATTTCTACGTAATCTAAGGAATTGGCTTTTCGGAACGCTGTCAAGCCACGGTTTGTAGTGGCAACTGTTCTTATCGATTACTGTATTGACACATACTTTTTTAAAAAATGTTTTTGTATTGATTTCACCGTTTTTAATAAATATATTGAGATCTAGGAAATTTATTTGTTCTCTACTAAATTCATGGGTTAAAATTATACCCCTGTTATTAGTATTAAGAACATTAAAAAAAGAAATAAGATTGTCTTCATATCCATTCCAGATAAAAAAAAGATCACCAATATATCTAAAATATGAGACCAGGTTTGCCCTTAGGTTATCTCCATTGTAGATGGCTGTAGATTCCCAATCTGCCATAAACAGATTGGCGTAGCTGGGGGCAAATCTGGTACCCATAGCAGTTCCTCTTCTTTGGAGGTAAAAAGAATCTAAAAACCAAAAATAATTATTTTTTAAAATAATATTAATATCCTCTAAGATAAAATCAATTTGTTCTTCCTGAATTCTATCTTCCTTTGTTAAAATATTTTTAATGGCTTCACATCCAATTTAGTGGGGTATAATTGTGTAGAGTGATTGGACGTCACAAGTAACCAAAATAAAATTGGGTCCCATTTAAAATCATTTAAAAAGTTTAAAAGAGACATGGAGTCTTGAAGGTATGATTTCATTTTTTTAATGGCTGGTTGTAAAAGAGTGTCTATATATTGGGATAGGTTGCATAAAAGCGAACCTATCCCTGACACTATTGGTCTGCCAGGGGGATTAGTAGCATTTTTGTGTATTTTTGGCAGGAAATATAATACCGGGATTTTTGGAAATTTTTTATTTAAAAAATTGTACTCTTGTTTGGTTAAAATGGCTTGAGATACACCTTTGTTTAAGAAAGTTAAGAAGAGGTTCTGAATGGTCTTTGTTGGGTCTGATGAAAGTTTCTCGTAGACATCAGGATCATTTCATTGTCTGTGCGCTTCTTCTATATACATGGCACGGGATAAAATGACTAGACCACCTCCTTTATCGGCAGGTCTTATCACAATGTCATTGTCATCTTGTAGCTCTTTAAGTGCTTTCTTTTCTTTATTTTCGTTAGATTTTGTGTATCATATTTTTTAGTCTGTAACTTGTTTAAATCATGTATAACTAGTTTCTCGAAAACAGTTAAAGGAGCAGTTTTCATAAAAGCTGGATAAAATTTGGATTTTTCTTTAAAATGCGTATTAATAGTATGTTTTTTTGGGGAGGGGGAAAGAGGTAAAATTGCACTATTATCAGAGGGATTGTTAGAGGTAAAATTTTCTTCTGTTTTTTTCATTAAAATAACGTTTTAGGGTTGGTTTGCGGACAAACTTATTAATGTCAATAAAAGCCTCGAAGGGTTTAAAAGGATTGGTTGGAGCAAATTTAAGACATTTGCTTAAAACCGACAGTTGTGCTATAGTAAGAGTTTTTTGGGAAAGGTTAAAAATCCCACTATTTAAATTTTTTGGGGGACTTATTGTCTTTCTAGTTTTTCTCTCTTGTTCCCGTCTGCCACTTCTTCTTCCTCTAGGCTTAGGGTTCTTTTTTGTGATCGTGACAGGTGGGGTGTTTGATTCAAAGTGCTTGGGTGAGTGTGAATTTCTAAAAAATTATCCTCATTTTCGAATTCAGAATCGATTGATAGCAGTTGATATCTATTGGAGTGGTAAGGGATACTGGGTGATTTGGGATACTCAATTCGATCATTGATATATCTAGATCTTTGGGGTTTGGGTGAAAATTGTATCTTATATGAATTGGTGGTATATTTCTTAGGTGGTGGAGAGTTTGTGTATTTATGTTTATAATGGGGTAGTGTTTAGGATGACTGATATTTAGGTCTGACTGAGGGTCCGACTGGGGGTCCAGGGTAGAAATCAATTTGTTGCTTATGTGATCGTTGAGGTTTGTAAGGTGACTGTGTGAATTTCTTATTGGTGTAATTTTGATATTCATCGTGATTTTGGTGGTGGTCTTGTTGACGGGTGTT